TTGTCACTTTAGTATGACACATTCGAAGATGATGCCGTTAGTGATCGAACAGCACAGAAGTGGTTAAAAAAATGTTCTTTGGGAGATCTCAGTTTGAGCGATGAATCGCGCTCAGGGAGACCAAAAATCATTAACAACGAGAATCTTTGACAGGTTGTGGACGTAAATTTCAGGACAACGTGCCAAGAACTTGCAGAAATGTTCAGAGTGAGTCCTGAAACTATTCGTTTGCATCTTCATCAGCTAGGAAAGACGTGGAAGTTAAGCAAATGGGTCCCACATGAACTGACAAATGATAACAAATTAAATCGTCTTACCATTTGTTCAGCAAATATTTTACGCAACGCTAATGAACCATTTCTTAATCGGTTATTAACCTGCGACGAAAAATGGATCTTGTATTCGAATTCTAAACGTTCGTATCAATGGTTATCGCCCACTGATTCGGTACCACACACGCCCAAGGCTTCCTTGCACCCAAACAAGGTTTTGTTGTACGTTTGGGGGACAGCAACTGGAACTGTCCATTATGAGTTTTTGGAAAGGGGTCAAACCATCACTGCTAACTTGTATTGTGAGCAGCTTCAACGAGTACAAGCAGCACTCATCCAGAAACAGCCTTCTTTGATCAATCGGAAGAAAATGATATTGTTGCAGGATAACGCCAAGCCTCATACCGCAAAAGTGACCCGAGAAAAAATTTCTGAACTCGGCTGGGAAACGTTACCGCACCCGCCATATTCTCCCGAAATTTCTCCCAGTGATTATCACCTTTTTTTGTTTCTTGACAACTGTATGAGGCACCGACAGTTCACAACTCGAGATGGTGTAATAAATGCAGTCCGCCAATTTTTTTACTCCAAATCCAGGGAGTTCTACAATACCGGAATACAAAAATTGTTTCCACGTTGGCAAAAGGTCACTGAATGTGATGGTAATTGCTTCGACGAATAAATAGAGCCTTATTCTTTCTCAATGAAAATTTATATTTTTATACTAAAACCCGCACGAACTTATTTGGTTACCTGATAATTACGCCAACGGCTGTTGTTTATTTGTGGTTTATTTTCGTTCTTTTTGCCTCAATATTTGCATTGCTATTGTATAAAAACAGTTTTTTTCAAAACTTAGAGGTGTCCTTTTAAGCATTTTGCATCGAAGACAAAGTAGATTTTGTAAAACGTCCTGGGATCAGTGTTGCCAGAGCGAAGTTTAAAATATCCGTCACACGTATCGCAAAATTCCGCTACATGCCGCTACAGTCTAAAAATTTAAGGGAGGGGGAGGCTTAAAATAAACAACAAATATATTTTTTACATATTTACTTTTTTTTAAACACTGTCTAAAAACACTACTAAAAATACAAACAGTAACATAATATAATTGCAATTTTTCGTAAAAACATAAAAAATATACCTCAAAGGCTTAAAATAAACAACAAATATATTTTTTACATATTTACTTTTTTTTAAACACTGTCTAAAAACACTACTAAAAATACAAACAGTAACATAATATAATTGCAATTTTTCGTAAAAACATAAAAAGTATACCTCAAAAAAAAAAAAACTGTCTTTGGTTTAGAATTAGGAACTAATAAAAAAATAGAAACTGTCACCAATATCTTAATCTTAATAGAAAAAAGAAACAAAAAATAAGGACAAAGAAGAAGCGGAAAGGTGGAAATGCCTACGTTTGCTTATTTTATTCACAGTCAGAATCAGAAATTACTTCTTCTTCAGCTTGTTCTTCCTTATTTACATTATATAAATTCTTTTTATATTTGTTTAAATGATTCTCATCAAAACTATAGGATAAACAGCACTGTTTTTTTGATTCCAAGTCTAATTTAATTGTAAGTAGTGCAGACAAAGTTGATGGTATTATTTTCTTTCTTTTTTTGTTTTGTAATCAAGCATATAAGAAAAAGTTCGCTCAACATCAGCGTTTCCATGAGGTAATGTTAAAATGATTAGATCCAGTTTACCTATATTGCGAAATAAATATTCGTCATTAAAATTTTTGAGGTCGTTTACAAACGACCAAAATTCAATGACATTACTTTTTGTTTTTAAAATTTCCTCTTTCTCACTATCACTAAAATAAATACATATTTTCTTTAGTTCTAAAATTGCCTTTTCGGTCTCAATATGAAGGGCAAATTTTTTTAAAACGGAGTCATGAAAGGTATCACTTATAATAAGACGATTGTTCATCACATCAACCGGTGAAAGAAACTTTAGCTCTGAAAAGAAGTTGTCTTTGATAGGAAATCTTTTAAGGGACTCTTCTACCGATTTTTTGGTAAAATGTGACACATTTTAATTTAAATTGTTCGATTGCCGTGTTATTGCAGTGTTTTATTGCATCCATTGTATGCGGACCAATATTCACTTGTTCAATTGGTAATAAGCAGTGGGGATCATTAGGATTTAGATTATATAATTTCTCATTTTTAAAATATTCTGGTCGCATAAAGTTTGTACATAGATGACGTACAAATCGCTCACTCTCTATTGATATGATATTGAGCATAACTTTCTCTGATTGAAAGAGAGCATTAAATTGGTTAAAAATGGGCAACACGAATTTAAAAAACATTAAATACGCCTAAACAAATGGATTCTGTAACTCATTAAGTATTACATTTGCTACAGGATTTTTGTCTTCAATGGAAGCTAATCTAAATAGGCTAAGCAAGATGTCCCACTGATCCAAAACTCTATCAACACATTTGGATAAAGCAAGCCACCTTGTTTTACTAGGGCTTAAAATTTTTAATTTTGACTTTTTGGAATATTCCTGTAATTCTTCAAGAACACACTGCCTTTTGGGGCTTCTTGAGAAGTAAGTATATAAGTTTTGTAAAAGAGCTTCAACGTTGCTTGGGATCTTTTCAGCTGCCGCCACCGCCACTAAATGATCAGTGGCAAATGCAGCCATTGACAATAATATTTAGATTATCTTTTAAAAGATAAGTTTTGAAAGATTCGTTATTGCCCATCATAACACTAGCGTTGTCAGAACAGTATCCAACAATATTGGTAATTTTTACTTGATTGGATATAACGCATTTTTTAAAAAGAGAATATAAACCTTTGGCGGTACCTTCATCTGCGTTTATTTTGATTATATCTAATAAATGGGTTTTAATTGAATTTTTATGAATATACCTTATAAGAATGCATAGTAGTCTTGTATTGCTCAGGTCTGTACTCTCATCCAATAAAATAGAAAATGGTATATTTTCCAATTCTGAAATTATTTCGTCTTTAATAACAGGAGCCAGCACATTTTTAATTATACTTATGCATTTGGATCTTTTTAATTTAAGTGAGCTAGAGAGATCTGGGTCTTTAAAACATAATTGACTAACTCCTGTTATATGATCAACAGTTCTAAAACTTATATAATGACTTACAACTAAAAGACTATATCTTAAGCAAGCAAATATTTGCCGTTTTTCCCAACTCACGTGCTTCCCGAGACTGAAAAGTGCTATCTAACGTTCTTACATTCGAAATTACTTGTACTTTAGTGGCATGCCTTTTTGATTTCGAATGATTCACTAAATCTGATTTTTTAGCACCCATTATTTGATTACAAGCTTTACATTTTGCTTTCAACTTGTCATTTTCAATAGGTCCCAACCAGCCTTTAAATAACGGATCTTCTAGCCATCATGAAGTAAACATTTGTTTTCGTGTCTTTTTCTTAACAGGTTGCTCTGGCTCTTGGTTATCCTGAGATTCGCAAGTCGAATTATCAGGCTCAGACCTGATTCCACTAGATTCCGCTCTTCTATTTTGTCTGTATTCAGGTTCGGGATGCTCCGAGTCCGACACAGATGCAGTCGAAGTGGATGGTACGGCCACGTTTGGTTTCACCGTTTGTTTTTTAGAAGGATTTTTATCAAAAAAATCGTTAATGGTCTGCTGTCGCCTTTCTATTATTCCTATTTTCCAGAAGAAAAAGCGTTAAAAACAAATTTCGCGACTAAGATTTATTTCTGGATCAAACTATAATATGTTAGATATTTAAGCAGTTTTGTTACTTACCAGTAGATTTAATATTAAAATCTGCAGCAAATGATATATCAATAAAATGATCAACACAAAAATAAGAACACTAATATAAACGAAACTAAACAGTATATACCCAGAGCTGAAAATACAATACAAAGCGAGAAACCTAATATTATGTCTGCCTGCTGAGACCTGTTAGAAACGATTAGTATTGAAAGCAGCAGTACGTACTCCATCTGTTATTGAAAAAAAGGCAAGTGGAATAATTCTCTTCTCTGTTCCTAGATGGCTCAAGCGGCACCAAATGCACCAATTTTATTATTAATGTGATAATAAATCAGACTCTAGCCACTGCCTATTTAGGATTTAGAACATTATTAACGTTAAAACAGTGAAATAAATATGATAGTTTTGTATGTAATAAATTCCGCTACATTTTGGGCTAATTTGCTCTACCGCCGCTACGCCGCTCTTCTCAAAATAATCCGCTACAAATAGCGGAATTCCGCTACGTATGTGCAACACTGCCTGGGATCTAGTAGTTTTAATTAATGTGGCGACCATGTGCGTCACTGTCATTATTTGACGTTCTGACTTAACTGCTTTGATCCAGTGAATATACTGTAATGCGTCAGAATTGTGTAACTTGCCGATATGGGGGATTTAGAAATGTTACTAGATAATCAGCTGTTATTCTACCGTAATGGATACTTGTGAAAAAAACGTATGTCTATTTGAAATGGTTGCCAAGTTATCTAGGCTTTCATATAACTGCAAAAATTGATTAGAATAAAATAACAACACATGGTAACGTGACAAGAGATATTTTACTAAATGCTTGGGGCGAGACTGCAACAATGACTGAATTACAGACTAAGTAGTAGACTGAGTAGTAGACTGTTTTGCAGACAGTTGGAAATCCTTTACAAACTGAACAATCGGGTAATGTTCGAAGGCGATCAAGAAATCTCTTACGAGCTCCCCGACGCCGGTTTTTGGCTTATTTCCTCCTCGCTTCTCATTGGCCGAACTGCACACTTGACATTTCTCTTCCGAACACTCCACCCATGGTTCGATCAGGTGGGACCAGGTCGCTTTCGAGTTGTATTTGCTGTGGAGGATCTTGTAGAGGTAGGTGTCTTCTACGTCTCTGGATTCCACCTTTTCGGTCATGTTGTCTCGGCGAGGGTATTCGGATTGTAGAGGGAGGAGATCCCTGAAAGAAATGTGGATCTTATGCCGCGTCCAGACTGTTACCGAGAAGCACTGAGAAGCGTTTTTGCACTCGTCCATTCTTTCATGGTCGTTTTGAAAACCCTTTGGATTTGAGTATAAGGCGACGGTTATACTCAAGGTAGAGCTGGACCAAATCGTTTCTTTTGGTGATTCGATTCCATAGTTTCTACTTGCGTGCATAGAAATCGGCCCACTGTAAACTTTTGACTTTAACTATATTTTTTTAATTATTCATCAGATCCAAAAAAGAAATATGCTGATTGAAAGAATTTGATATGCTTTAATGTGAGTATAACTTTATGAAAACTTATTTCGACTTCCTATGTTTAACACAGTGAAATTAATGCATTAAGCAAATTAAGCTTTTTTATTATTAACATAAATAGGGTTATTGACAATTTAAAACTTAACACTTAATTTTTTAATAATGCGTATGACCTCCTCTTGCCCTAATAACGTCTCTCGTACGATTAGGCGTAGATCTAATCAAGTTTGCTATTGTTTCTTGTGGGATGTTAAGCCACCCTTCTTCTACTGCAACAATAAGCTCTGGGATCGAGTTTTGGGTATGGAGTCTAGCTCGAATTCTTGATTTTAGCTCATCCCATAACTGTTCGATCGGATTTAGGTCAGGACTGTATGCTGGCCACTCCATAACCCGAAAACCGACTTCTGCAATATAATCTTGCACGATTCTTGCGGTGTGCGGCCTTGCATTGTCATTCAGAAAAGGTAAATTCGTCTCCAATGTAGTCGACGTAAGGTACCACATGAATTGCTAAAATCTCGATATATCTAACAGCCGTTAAACCTCTTCTTCCGTGAATACGGTCGCCCCTACGAATGAACTCAGACTCGCCTGTTCCAGGTCGCCTATGAAAGGATCCAGTCTCCTCATAATGTTGGCACACTCTTCGGACCGCTGCGCGTGTCATATCCAATTATATTTCAGGTCCAGTCCTCAATATTACATAATTGTGTAGTATGTGTCTCTTCCACTTTTAGCACAAGGTTCAAAGTAAAATTAAAAGAATCCGGCCCTGTGCCGGTCGCCTCTGCAGTCGCTCGATCGGAACGTATTCAACTCATTGCTTCAGTTGCTTCATTTGTTTGATAACATAGTGTTTACATCTCTTTAGGAAAGGCATTTTTTGGCAAACACTCTTTAAACATCTACACAATTATGTAATATTGAGGACTGGACCTGAAATATAATATATCGATCAAAAAAACTTACCTGAAGTTCGATCGTTATTATATGAAGGTCCAGTCCGAAAATATTACAATCCCTACCCACCCAAGGAAGAATCTAACCCAGAAGCTATTTATGTGTTTTCCAAAAGATGCGGAATGAATACTTTAAAACAATGAGTTGAATACGTTCCGATGGAGCGACTGCAGAGGGCGACCGGCACAGGGCCGGATTCTTTTAATTTTACTTTGAACCTTGTGCTAAAAGTGGAAGAGACACATACTACACAATTATGTAATATTTTCGGACTGGACCTTCATATAATAACGATCGAACTTCAGGTAAGTTCTTTTGATCGATATATTATCTAGCAACAGCTCGCTGACCAAGTCCATTTTCGATTAAAACAATAACTTGGGCGGCTTTTGTTGTGTAGTTATGCATTAAACTAACACGTAAGATTTCAATATTATGAAAAACGAATAAGATGCAAATTTCAGTTGCAAACTCAATAATTTTAATATTTGACAAACTGGTTATTTTCGTTACAATCACCACATAAACACGTTTCATTTGTTTAGCGTTTGATGCGCATATAAACGATAAGCCTTCTTGATCAATTTATGCTCACATTAAAGCATATTAAATTGTCCTTCAAATAGCATACTTCTTTTTTTGATCTGTAGAATATTTTTTTTTTAAAATACAGTTCGGTGTTCGGAGTCAAAAGTTTACAGTGGGCCGATTTCTATGCACGCAAGTGTATTCCGGCGTCGGATCGATTCCTTCCATTCGTTTACAATTTCGATTTCTGCCTTGGGTTCGATTCTTTCCATTAGTTTAGGATTTCTAGTCCGGCCTCGGAATCGAATCCTTCATGTCGTTCCGATTCCGACTTGGGAATCGATTCCTTCACGATTCCGACTCCGGGCTCAGCATAGATTCCTTCCATTCATTTACGATTCAGATTTCATGTTCGGAATCGATTCCTTCCATTCGCTTACGATTCCGATTTCGGACTTGGGTTCAATTTCTCCCATTAGATTACGATTTCGATTCCGATCTCGGAATCGATTCCTTCATTTCTTTCACGATTCCGACTCCGGCCTCGGAATAGATTCCGTCCTTTCATTTACAACTCCGATTTCGAGTTAGCAAATGATTCCTTCACGATTCCGAGTCCGGTCCTGGAATAGATTCCTTCCACCCATTTACGATTTCGATTCCAATCTCGGAATTGTGATTACTTCATTACCTTCACGATTCCAATTCCGCCTCGAAATAGATTCCTTCCATTCATTTAAGATTCCGATTCCGGCTTCGAAATCGATTCACTATTCCGGATTCTGAATACATTCCATCGATTCGTTCAGGATTTAAATTGCGGCAACGGAATCGTTCCTTCCATTCGTTTACGATCCGATTCCGGTCTCGGAATCGATTCCTGCGGATTTGTCCACGATTTCGGCCTTGGACTCGATTACTTAGATTCTTCGAATCGTTCACTGATCCTTTTTTTGGCATATGAATCGGTTCCTTCGATTCATTCACAAATCTGATTCCGGCCGTGGAATCGATTCCTTCAATTCGTTGACGATTCCCATTCTGGTCGTGAAATCGATTCCCTTTATTTTTTCATGACTCCCATTCCGTCATCGGAACCGACTTCCTCTCATCGTTAACGATTCCCATCCTGGCCATGGAATCGAATCCTTTGATTCGTTCACGTTTCCGCTTCCGGTTGCGGAACCAATTCCCTCAATTTGTTCACGATTTCCACTCCGGCCCAGAAATCGATCCCCTCGAATCGTTCACGATGCCGATTCCAACTCCGGAATCAATTCCTTCCAATCGTTAACGATCCGATTCCGGTCCCGGAAACGATTCCTTAGGTTCTCGATTCCAATTCCGGCTTCGGAATAGATTTCTTTGATTCATTCACGAATCCGATTCCTTCCATTCGTTTACGATTTCGATTCCGATCTCGGAATCGATTCCTTTATTTCCTTCACGATTCCGATTTCGCCTCGGAATAGATTCATTCCTCTCATGTACGACCCCGACTCCGAGTTCGCAAATGATTCCTTCACGAGTCCGACTCCGGTCTTCGAATAGATTTCTTCCACTCATTTACGATGTCGATTCCGATCTCGGAATCTATTTTCATTTCCTTCACGATTCCGATTCCGCCTCGAAATATATTCCTTCCTTTCATTTACGACCATGATTTCGAGTACGGAATCGATTCCTTCCATTCGTTTACGATTTTGATTTCGGCCTTGGGTTCGATTCCTTCCATTCATTTAAGATTTTGATTTCGGCTTCGGAATCGATTCCTTAACGATTCCGACTCCAGTCTCGGATTAAATTCCTTCCATCCGTTTATGATTCCCATTCCGGCGCCGGAATCAATTCCTTTGATTCGTTTACGACTCCGATTTCGGCTTCGAAATCGATTCACGATTCCGGATTCTGAATAAATTCCTTCAATTCATTCACGATTCCGATGCTGGCTTCTTAATTGATTCCTTCGATCTGTGCAGGATTCCAATTCAGGCTTCGGAATGAATTCCTTCCATTCGTTTACGATCCGATTCCGCTCTCGGAATCGATTCCTGCGGATTTGTCCACGATTCCGGCCTTGGACTCGATTCCTTAGATTCTTCGAATCGTTCACTCCTCCTTTTTTTGACATGTGAATCGGTTCCTTCGATCCATTCACAAATCCGGTTCCGGGCGTGGAATCGATTCCTTCAATTCGTTCACGATTCCCGTTCTGGTCGTGAAATCGTTCCTTTTATTTTTCAACGATTCCCATTCCGGCATCGGAATCGATTTCCTCGTATCGTTAACGATTCCCATCCTGACCGTGGAATCGAATCATTTGCTTCGTTCACGTTTCCGCTTCCAGCTGTGGAACCAATTTCCTCAATTTGTTCACGATTTAAACTCCGGCCTAGAAATCGATTGATTCGAATCGTTCACGATTCCGATTCCGGCTTCGGAATCAATTATTAACGATCCGATTCCGGTCTCGGAATCGATTCCTTAGATTCGTTCTCTATTCCGACCGTGGAATCTATTCCTTCAATTCGTTCATGATTCCCATTCCGGTGTGAAATCGATTCCTTCTATTCGTTTACGATTTCGACTCCGATCTCGGAACCGATTCCTTCATTTCATTCACGATTCCGATTTCGCCTCGGAATAGATTCCTTCCTCTCATTTACGACCCCGACTCCCGAGTTCGCAAATGATTCCTTCACGATTCCGACTCCGGTCCTGGAATAGATTCCTTCCACTCATTTACGATTTCGATTCCGATCTCGGAATCTATTTTCATTTCCTTCACGATTCCGATTCCGCCTCGAAATAGATTCCTTCCTTTCATTTACGACTGCGACTTCGAGTTCGGAATCGATTCCTTCCATTCGCTTACAATTTCGATTTCGGCCTTGGGTGCAATTCCTACCGTTCGTTTACAATTTCGAGGCCGGCCTGCGAATCGATTCCTTCATTTCGTTCACGAATCTGATTCCGGCTTCGGAATCGATTCCCTCACGATTCCGACTCCGTCCTCGGAATAAATTCCTTCCGCATATTTACGATTTCGATTCCGATCTCGGAATTGATTACTTCATTTCCTTCACGATTCCGATTTCGCCTCAGGATAGATTCCTTCCTCTCATTTACGACTGCGATTTCGAGTTCGGAATCGATTCCTTAACGATTCCGACTCCAGTATCGGATTAAATTCCTTCCATTCGTTTATGATTCCCATTCCGGCC